AAAATCAAATTCTTTTGCAGTTAATTTGTAAGATGATTTTATGTTACTTTGCCTTCAGCGTGTATGTTAATTCTTGAGTGAGGGAAACATTTTACTTAAACTAAAATAATTTGAGTCCAAGAATTGAATCCAATTTCTTATTGCAAGGAAAAGCAGGAAAAAAAAAAACTTTGTAGGGACTTCTTTTGGAATATCACTGAGGATGAAACTTGAAATCCAATTTTCTTGTGGCAAGATGTATGCTTGGTGTCACATAGCTTGGGATTAGGTGCATCCTAGTCTTGGTATGGAAAACTGTTTATTTTTTTTTACAATATGTTGAATTCTCCATGGATCCACTGGTTTCTTCCATTCCTATGGAATTGCTAGGCTTCCCTGTATTGCTATAATGAAGGAATTGTAAATTACAGTATCCCAACTTCATATTTTTGAAGGAAATTGTGGAAAGAACTGCAGGTGATCTTCATTGTGGTCCTTGATATAGTAGTTGTATCACAAGTGAATATTAATACCCAAAATGATATTTATAAACCATGCTTCCTTTTCATATCTTGAATGCATAATTTTTTAAGTTCAACTGAACTTCAAAAAACACAGAGCTAAATTTGGAACACTACAAACTAATTGAATGTTACTGCAAGGAGGAAATATGAGCTAGGCAGATAATGAAATAATCTTACAGGTTTTATGTACTCCATTCTCTTGAAATATTCTTAACTTGTTCCCACAGAACCATATAAGGCATTAGAACCCTTGCCCCTAATTGTCAGGTTCTTTAGAGGCATTGTGTTATTCTTTCATTCTACAGATTAGCATCGTTTAAATTTGGTAGCTTCTTTTTTTTTCAATGCCAACTAATATCTTTAGCCTTTAGAGATTAAAATTCTATTATCACTGCTTTCTGTGATCAAAAGTGGAATTGTGTAGGTGTAAGTTGCATTGTTCACAAATTGGTATGATGATACCATGCCACATTCATACTGCTATTCTTAGAGGATGGATCATAGATTTATGCTGAAGGGAACAAAGCAATGTTTCTCTATCTGCTGCTTGCTCAATTATATTGAAGCAAGTTTTTGAAGTGAGCTCAGATGATAATACTTTTAACTAGAGGATTATACTTGTGACACACATGCAACCCATAAATATCCCATTGGTCTCCACTTCATGTACTGTACCAGGTACATAATTAAATTCTGTAAGTCAACACTCCATTCATTCTCACTTAGAGAATTCCACCTAGATATGAGAATTAAACTATCACTCAGCTATAAAGCTGGCTAGAAACTCATATAGCCTCATCTAACTCACTGAATTCCCAAATCTAAATCTTGACTATTCCCACTTCAAATAATAGATGGAGGCTGAGACGACTGAATATGTCTTTTCCCACATTTTCATCCAGTACAAATAATTGTAGCACAGGGATAAATGCTTTGAGCACTAAAACAAGATTATTTTTCTAAACTCTTCAGTTTTGCTTTCCTCAATCTGGTGCTATCTAAATAATTTGGATTAGATTTCCCAAAATTTCATATCAGAGAAATCTGATTTAGGTGTTCCTGGACAACTCAACACTTTTGCACAACTGATATGGTTTGACTAAATCCAAAAAATCTTATTCTTCTTGTATGTAGTGGAAACTAATTAAAGATAAAGTACTACAGCATACTAATAATCTTAAAGTAATAATGAGATAAAATGTGAGAAACATTTCGAATACACAGTACTTTTTAAACATTGTATTGTTATTTGAAAAGTCTGCCCTGAAATTATTGCAGAAGATGTAAGATATACCAGTCAATATTAATAATCAAGCAGTAGTAATTGTTTATTGATGCAGATATCAACACAAAGGGAAAAAAGATTTAGAAACTTAAATGTGTCAAACATGCCAGATGAATAAATATTGTTTAAAATTTCAGAATTAATTTACAATCAATAAAATAAAATTATAATTTCTATGCCATGGAAGAGTTGATTTTTATTTCCAGGAGTTCAGCTTGCTTATTACAGAGCTTGCTTTTCTGTTTTGAATGAAAATCATTCATATTCTATACTGTAATGTATAATACAGTTAAACGTAGCAAGTAGCAATACATAACATTTGTATTACAATTGGTTCTAAGTTTAATTTTTAAAAAAAAAACTTTTACTGATTACAAAAAAAAATGGAAAAGAAATGGAGGAGCCAAGCTCAATCTTTGAGAGTAGAGAAGAAAATAATACTCTTAAGCCTGAGCCCTAAAAAAATTATTCCAGTTTCTACATATTTGGTACAGGTCTACAGATGCCGCAAAATAGAAAGCGTTTAGCAACTCTTTCATTTTTGAAATAAAAATCAGAAGAGCAAAGCTTTATACAGATCTATCAAGTGGATCACCTAATGACAAAATTGGGTAGGTTTTTTTTTTAAAAAAATGGAAATTTTACTTTTTCTAAAAACATTTCTAAAAAAATCTCTACAAACTCACAAATGAAGAAAGGTACACTAAGATAATACAAATGTGACTACTCAATCACTTCTTATATGGGAAATGTTTACCAAATTTACTTCATATAGTAGAGATACAATATTTGTAGGTGAAAATATAGCTTTCACCCAGTTTCCAATATCATGTCTTAAAAAAAGACAGAGTTTTCTGTATCTTTTTACTGCTGCATACTGATGATCCAGAGGTTTGTAGCTAAATTTTCGTACCCCTACAATAGTGTTTTAATGCTATCAAGAAAGTACTTCTTTGCACCCAAGGCCATTGCTCCCATTGCACAGGTTCACATTTAGCAGTCTTCATTAAATATTGCAAACATCTCCAATCCTCAATTTTTTTCCTGAAGTACTGAGGGGTCATTATTATTGTCCTTGTGTTGGCCCAGCACAAAACTGGGTGGTTTATTTCACTTGGTGTGAGTTAGTTAGCCAATAATCATATAGAGAAGGGTGGGAAGATATTAAGAACTTTTTTTTTCTGTACAGAAGTCAAGAACTAATATTTGGGATTAAAGCAAGCGTGTGCCCTGCATATCCTCACAGTAGGTTTAGATACCTAACAGATCTCATCAGATCACATCATCAGTTCTGATTGGTTGAATACATTTACCTCAACTTTAGGCAGGTTCTTCTCTGCCTCTGGGCGGATTTCCAAACTTCCTCATGGGGGCACCCAGTGACTTATGCTAACCTGTATTAGACCTTTAATACTTTTCTTCTTCCTAGAAATTACCAGCAGTATCTCTTTACTGTGGTGCCATCACTTGTGCCCAATTTTGCACAAATGGAAGTGCTTTCTGTTAGTAAAACGATTTCCAAACTAAGGTTAGTTACTGAGATGCATGCTGGGAGCCGCATTCCCAAAACAATGGTTTAGCCTAGGACAAATTTTATTTTACTTAATTATATTTAGTCATAATTAACCATCACTAATGCAACTATTTTCTAACCATTATTAATAAACTCCCTCTTTTGTTGTGTATGGGAGTTTTGTACTTTTGCACTGTACCTCTGTGTGAGCTGTAGATAGAATTGCTGACTCGCTTGGGTCATGCAATTAACAGAGGCATTGTTTGCTTAAATTCAGATTGTTTGTTTAGATCATAATTGCTATTATGAATGGGGGGGGAGACTTAGTTTGCCATAAAACCCTATCAAAATCTCATGTAGATCACACTGTGAAAAACCCTAACTTAGTATCTTCAGTGATCCACTCAAATTTTCTTCCACTAGCAAACCATTAAAAAAATATATAACTCCAGGCTTAGTCAGCAGGTTGCAAATCCCGTTGAAATATTCTTCTACATGGCAAGTTATTTCTCTCATTTAACTGGCATATCTTATTAGATGAAATCCATCAAGTCTTGTTGATTGAGTTAAAAAACAGCAGTGTGAAAAACTCAGCCCACGGCAAAGGCAGCCATGCTGGGTTTCTTCACCATAAAATCCAGCTGTGTGACCTTGGGCCTATCACACTCTCTCAGCCCAATTCACCTCAGAGGGTGGATGTTGTGAGGAAAATAGGAGGAAGAAGGTGTGTTAGATATGTTTGCTGCCTTGATTTTTAAAAATAATAAAGGCAGAATATATATAAATAGAGGCCCCAAAACAATACAATCTCCATCCCCTTCTTAGCCGAATGGGAGGCACCCCGATCATGATCTGATCTCCATTTTTAAAAATTAATTGCCTCGAGCATAAATAGGGACTAATGAATTAAAAGATTTAAGACACTGCCTGTGTCAAAGACAAAACCGAGCTTACACTGCATCATCCTTGGATTCTGTTTTCATCCATTTTGATTGTAAAGCCTACCTCACTTTTATTCATGTTAACTAATGCTGCCTAACAGTCTTGTTTTTGTAAGTAAATTGAACTGAGAATGGGAATTGATGGTGCATGATTTTTATTTTTCCACTCAGTGGCACTTTCTTTGCTGCATGCCAGACAGAATGAACCTGGTGAATTTCTGCCTGTCATTACTGCTGCTGATAGTAAGAGGTGGTTTTTTTCCTCATTAAGCTTCTATGTATGAATCCATTAACCAGGCTCAGAAATAGTGATTATTCCCACATCATCCAGTGAGCTTTAGGAACTAAACTATAGTATAATCCCAGTCTTTGATTCATTTTATTGTGCCCCTTAACATCCTAATTGCAAGAGCAACATAGTCATGATATATTATTATCCACAAGAAATTACTTTAATTCTGTATATGCAGATGTTCCTCACTTAACCAAGAGGCATTGCATTTCTCTTTTTAAATAACACCATGTTTGTCAAAATCCAGAGGAACATGCTCCTAGATAAACACATTTAAAATTGTAGCCAAAGGCAGTGAGGATTTTCTTGTTTGTGTTGCTCAGTTTCTATATTTTGGCAACTAAAAATGAGGATAACAACATATGCAAATGCTCCTTACAACACATAAATATTATTTTTACTATTTTGTCCAATAGTAGGTAACTTTAAGTGGAATTACATTCCAGGAGTATAAGTGATTGCCAAAATGTCTGGAAGTTGTGGTCAAGAAAAAATACGATGGATTACTACAATAATTCTGAGTTCATCTCTCCAGGTAATGTATGTCATGAAAGTTCTCACCAAAAGGTTGTCACTTGGAAGGGTTGCCTATTCATAAGCTTGTTACACAGGAACAGCATGGCCAGGCACCAAACACTAATTTATAAGAAGGCATGTTGGTGATGTTACTTCTTATCCTTCTCTAGCCCTCACATATTCTTATCGATATAATTTATTTTTATTTGTTTATTTCTGGGGAGGTGGCTTATGTCTAAGCTAAGCCATAGGTTACAGCCACCGATCCTTGTTTCTTCTGAAGTGCTTCTAAGCCTATATGGAATCTCCAACCCAAGTATTCTCAGATTGCCTATCCCAATGTTAGATGCAATTCTGTTACTGGAACGAACAAATAATTATAGAAGAATCACAACATTGCTTCTGTTTGGAGAGAAGGAAAGCAGCCATATCTACTGTACTGATTTTTTTAAAATAGTGGGATGTGTTTGCATGGCACACTAAGTCTTTTAGAGACCGAGTGCCCAAACTGCAACCCAAAACCCACTTATGCATCGTCGGGTGCCAGGTGGGTGTGGCCCATTGGGTGGGCGTGGCTGCAGTGGTAACGGCAGACTGGGTGGGACTAAAAAGTTCAATCAATCAATTCCAACTTTGCAAGATCTTTTTTTTCCCCGCGAGAAGTTGAAATTGATTGATTGAACCTTTTTTTTTTTTACATAGTGGCGGAGGCCTAAAACAAAAAGGTTTTATAAAACCCAGCTGAAGGCCTAGGACTGGGGTGACAGTGTGCGTGCCCACAGAGAGGGCTCTGAGTGCCACCTCTGGCACTGGTGCCATAGGTTCGCCACCACTGCACTAAGCTATTCTTGCTACCTGACAAAGTTTATAATTTGTTTTTATTACTTGTGAGTAGAGATGATGCTCACCTATGGGTTGCCTTTCTCTTCTTTTCTCTTATAGACTCTTCCTTTAGTTAGCTAATAGCAATCAGACTGCACATTGAATAGTCTAATGAGAAAGATGCAATGGAGAAAATTGCATAGAAAATGTTATATTTGCTTTCAGGGAGATAGATACATCTGTAAAGTTTATCTTTATTATTACTCCATTTATTTACCTTGCATCCCATATTTGTTATTTTTATAAATAACTCAAGATGGCAAACATACCTAATACTCTTTCCTTCTCCTATCTTCCCCACAACAACCCTACAAGTTGGGCTGAGGGAGAGCAACTGGCCCAAAGTCACCCATTCAACTTTCATGCGTAAGGCAAAACTAGAACTTGCACTCTCTTGGTTTCTACTCTAGTGCCATGACCACTAGACCAAACTGGCTACCCTTTGTTTCTAAATACTATTAAAGGATTTTATTAAGAAAGGCTTTTTCCTTTTTTTTTTGTTGGCAGGATTGGTTCTTTAAAGGCACTCTACTGTCAAATCTTTTTTTTAAATAGCATTTCTGACTAGATAAGAAGAAAAAAAATGGGAAAATTTAATTAGCCTACCTCAGGATGGTAATGTTTTTGTAACTGAGAATAATTACATAGCTAACTATGTTTGCTTGCATGTTTTTATAGATGTTGGATTCTTTAGAAAGCTCAAAACAGCTCACAATGAAATTGTGTTGTTGAAAACATAATGGCCCAACTTTTTAAATAAAAAACTGCAACCTTACCGCATTTTATTTTAATTGGCTGAAGGTGAAAAGATTTTTAATTTTTAAACTAAAAAGAATGGAAAAATTATTTTCTCATAAACCAAGTAATTGAAGCACTGTATGAAGCATATTATTCAATTATACATTTTACTTCCAGTTTAGACAGTAATTTTGTTTACTTTTTAAAGTTAGAAAGAAATACCAGATAGATCTGATAACAGTAGTCAGCTAACAAATCCAAATTATACTATAATATGCAAGGGGAGCATTTCTCCCTACAAGATTGGAGGAAGAAGAAAAGACAATATAATTAGTTTTATTCCATCACTGGAACATCCATAAGCATTTGTATATCGGCTTTTGCAAAGAGAGGGCTTGGCTAAATGGGCTCTTGGACTGATCCAGCATAACAAAGATTGCAGGGTTTTTAAAATTAGTATTTATGTATATTAAACTATTTTGAATGTTTCAATGACCATTCTACTTAAGGGACAGAATATATTTTAATATAACATTTTGTTATTTAGGATCATGAAATTTCAACAACCTTGCAAAACCAGCAACACCGGGTTCGTTATTCAGATGCAGTGGAAAATGGATCTATTATTTTCTCACTTTCTGGTACATTATTATAGTTTTTCATTTTTCCCACAACAGCAATCCTATGAGGTGGGTTGGGTTCAGAAAGAGTAGCTGGCCCAAAGTCAGCAGCTAGCTTTCATGCCTAAGGGAGATCTAGAACTCAGGATCCCCTGATTTCTAAGCCAACATCTTACCCACTACACCAAAATGGCTTACTTTAAATGGGATAAATGGTTGACAAGCATAAACCTAATGAAAAAAAGAAAGAAAAATAGGTACTTTATGCGTTTTGAAACTAGTATCCATGAAATGGAAAGTATATAATAGATCAAAATTAAAGCAGACTGATCTCACGAAAATGAAGTTGATTGATACATGCATTAAGTGAAAGCATAGGTGTAATTACAGGTAGTCTTCGGTTAATGACCATTCAGTAACTATTCAAAGATACTTTGGTGCTGAACAAGTGATACTTATAATCCAACCTCAAAGTTCCAGCTGTTCCAGCACACCTGTGATCATGTGATTGCAATCTGTGTGCTTGGAAAGAAGCTTGCACTTACAATGCCTGCAAAATTCCAGTCATGTAATTGCCATTTGCAACCTTTCCTGCTAGCTATCCACAAGCAAAGTCAGTGGAGAAGCTGGCAGGGAAAACGACAAGTCACTCCTGTAAGTCTCTCCCTTTTCAGCCACTCCTGATGAGCCTAGCTGTGGAGGGCAAGATCCAATGATGTCATACTCCATAGCATGCATCCACTTGCAGCCCACCCACCCACAGTCCATTTACACGCACCCACCTACCCATGCTGATGCAGCACCCTAGAAGCCACCAGCACACCCTCCTACCTGGCACCACCACAAGCACCACCATCCCTGGCCAGGGCCACACTATGCCACAGCAGCTACTTAGCCACTCACCAGCCTGCTTGCCCAGGAATTGCCAGCTTCCCCATTTACTATGCTTATTGGAAGCGGGCAGGAAGTTCAAAGTGGTTCCTCACTTAACAACCTAAGATCCTCACTTGATGACAACAAAAGGGATTGCTGGGATTCCACTACTAAGCGAGCCAGTCACTTGACCTCTTTATGATCATATTGCTTAGCAGCAGAAATTCCAGTCCCAATTGCCATTGTTAAATGAGAACTACGCATGAGTGAAGGTATATGTTAGAAAGTAGTTGTTGTCATACAGATTATTGTGGATGCATATGAAAAGTATCAATTCATAGATTCATGGACCAACATGCTATGCTCCAGGGAATGATGAAAATAGATTAAAAATGAATTTTAAGAAACATTATGAAACACTGAATGAATATGATCCAGTGGGACAAAACTACTCTGTTAAGTGACATGAAAGGAACAGTGGGAATGAGTTCAGTTCACAGAAAAAGTGATATGGACATTTAGAAACTCAGGAGTGAGTTAAGAATTTCTGCTTAAAAAGACTTTATTTTGAATACATGGTGTACATATAAATACATTAATGCATACATGGGAAAAGAGAATGCTTTGAAAAGTAGAAATGATTTAATTATGGTGAAAGAAATATAATGAAATAATTAGTGAATAATACAAGGATGAGGAGGGTTCTGAATTAGAAAAGCAGTTTTTCTGGGTCTTTGGGCCTTGCCAATTCCCTTAAGTTACAATAGTATTAGGACTGCTGCACAAAATTTGCAAGATGATAATACCATTGTAACAAATATTATCCAAAATGTCTACTATTTTTTCATCTTTCTTCTTGGAATTTACATTAATCTTCAGTATTGTGGATTTAGGATGCAGCTTTATGTATTTTTCAGTTTGAACAGCTGTATATACCCCACCATATATAAATCATACCGTATATGTACTCTTTTAAATCAACAATTAAGTATAGCTTAATAAAAAGTTCTTCTCTCTCAGGTGTTGCATTTTTGCTTGCCGATACTCAAGATTTGCTATTGATAAATAGCAAAGTCATTTTTGAAAGAATAAAGAAGTTCATGACCATTCATAGAAATGGATTTTTACTTTTATCAGCTGCCCTTCACGGACCAAAAGAATGGGAAATGATGTTCAGAATTCAGCAAAGGTATGAAATAATTAAATAATAATTTGAAATTTGCTTTATTACTACTATTAATGGAAAATGGATATTTTTTTTTATTGAAAACTTTACAAAAGTTTTACAATATACCTTCCCCCCTCCCCAAAACCCACCCTTCCCCGCCCCCCTCCCTCCCCCCGACTTCCCAGAGCCAATCACAGGGTTAACAATACAACAACCATACTTTGTCTAACATTAATCACTATTAGATTAACAAATCTGTAACATCCTTTAACTCTCTTTTAAACAAACATATTAAACACAATAATTATAACATCTTATTACTAATTGTAAATAAAAATAAACTACATTAGCACTCTAAAGTTTACTCAAAAACCAAATGAAACTTTTTAGTTCCATATTTACTCTCAATATAATCTATCCATCTTCTCCAAACCAAAATATATCTTTCTTGTGAATAATCCTTCACATAGGCAGAAATCTTAGCCATTTCTGCTAAATTTGAAACTTTGAATACCCAATCTTCTATAGTGGGCAAACGTTCCGTTTTCC